TACCGAATCAACACTTAAGATAATTATTTATCTACTTCTTTTTCAAGAAGGAATGGATTCCATCTCGTATAATAACATTTCCGGCTACCTATTTCATCATGTCTCCAAAATACAAGGAATAGGATTCAGGGTCTCAGAATCCGTACCGAGCAAATCAAAAGACACAAATCCATAAATAGGAGTTTGTTAAGAACTCAGGATTAAGATCATTCTATATATGACCATCGGTAAACTCAATTAGAATTTCTATGCTTAACGAAAATTATTAGAAATTCATATTGTGTCTGTGTCCCTGTTCCACACAATCTCATTATGCGAAATACACTCATTCAATATCTCACCATATTAACAGTGCGGATAGCACCGTTCCATTCTAAATGGGAATGACATGTATTAATAATGTTTTAATTAAAGATTCCGAACTTTAATTAAATTCATTATGAACAATGTTTTTTATTATTATTCTTAAACATTATCCTCTCGTATATAACACTTATATACTATGTTTAAGGTTACATAAATAATCACGGAATTTTCATTTGATATTCATAAAATATTCATGAATATATGCACATAAAATGATAAATAAACTATTTTATTAATTAAATAATAAATATCCTATTACATCTCATGCTTCTAGGACACTATTCTCAACAACTCTACCTACAACGCCACTGCCACAAATATCAGCCGCCGCATCACCAAGCACAAGGTAAACCATATCTACTAATTTATATCAACTACACATAAAACATCATATTTATTATTTGAAATACATGTCTAAACAATATTTTACCATCTCCGCCCCTTCCTAAAAATAGTAGCATCAACTCCAACATCAATTCACCCGCAAACACCAAACCCAAAAACAATCGGGTACAAGGTAAGACATATTTACTAATTTACATTATCCATGAATAGAAAACAATCTTTATAATTCTAGGCACGGGTTTTAATCACTTTTTATCATTTCAGTTCTCAGTCAAAAGAAACTTAACAACTTTGAAAATGCCCGAGAACCAGGGAATATAACTACTCTTAAATCAATAAACTTCCAATTTCCTCGACTATCAATACTAATTTGTTCAAAATTTGTCTTTTGCAACTAAAAAAAAATAGACCAACAAACGGGGACAAAAACTCAAATACATTGTAAACAACTTGTTATGACAATATCATGTATACACATCCATATATAAATATGTACATATAAATTAATTCTGTACTATAAAAATTATTGACTTTATGTGTGATACAAAATGATTACCCGCTGCAATGCGCGAGTACGCGGCTAGTGACTTTTTAAAAGACAAATAAGTCATTACCCGCACACCTTGACAACCATGCACAGTTCACTTCTATGCTACTCAATGCTGTTAGGCTCCAAAATCTTTTTATTATTTTATTTTATAGAAAAGCATTCATAGGCTCCAAAATCATTGACTGATGTAAGATATATTTGAGTAGACTCAATTTTCAATTTTCCATCAAGTATGAAGATACAACCATTCCACATCTGTTAATGCAAAAGTAAAGAAAGGAAATGGTAAGTGGAAATGAGAAAAAGAATGTCCAAGATCCACACATCATGTCAAAGGTGACAAAATCCACTTAAGATTTGAACTTTAATTGTGTTGGCAGTTATGCCTTACTAGGAAGAGGGGAACATGATAAAAGCAGATAAGAAACAATTTGACCACTTGGATGAGATTGATCCAAAGAGATGATTTTTCAAAGTGGGCTCCAATTTCATTGTACATTGATGAAAAAAATGGAGAATTTATCCTAAAAATATATGAGTCTAGACTTTTATCACTTACTCTTAATAAATATATTTTTATTAGGGTAATTATTTAACTAAAAAAGTTATGAATCAAGAGTAAAAGATAAAAATCTTGACCGGTGTACTTTTAAGAGGTATTTATCAAGATTACGCTAGATCGATTTCAATTATTTAATGAGAAAATTATTGAACATACCTCTTAGAGTGTATGGGTTTGGATTTTACTCATTGCTCTTAATTAATATCATTTTACTAATATAGTTATTTGATTAAAAAATATATTAATTAAGAGTAAGAATTAAAAATTCAGATCTATGTTATAAGGGTATTTGTTTTCTTTTCTCATTATTAACGTGAGTGATCTATGTTCTAAGGGTATTTGTTTTCTTTTCTCGTTATTAACGTGAGTGATAGGTCCTGGCCCATTAATAAGTACTGCCTAACCTTTAGGGACAATCGCGTATGACTATTTAGCACCACTCACTCATGCTCTCATAAAGTTATACTTTTGAGGAAATGGAATTGTCTATTTCAAGTTTGTCTACCCATTGGGACAAAGCGTGAACAATGAACCACGTAGAGAATGGAGATTCTGAAATTATTTTATAAGGTAGTTCTACAACTTGTATTTTTATTAGTATTGTTTACTTTAAAAGTTAGATAATCTCATCACAATTATATCAACATAAAAAAATCAAAAATCAAAAAATCAGATTTAAAAGATCTAAAAAGAATATATATGAACTTGGACGAGTGATTGGAACTCTATATCCTATTATGAGTCATAAGTGAATTTAGCGTTACGCAATGTCTTCAATCAGATTTGAGTATAAATATTATTAGGGCACCTTTTTCTAAGGAGAAAAAAAAAAGGTGTTACTCGACTCAAAATTGCTTGTTACTAATCCTTTATGGACTAAAACGACATGTCCTTTTCGGTTGACAAGTTTATTGTCATTTAATCTAGACTGACGTGTCATATGTCACGTAGAAAGAACAAGTTATTTATCGATTCAAAAATTATTCTTGATCTTTAACCGAAAAAACCGATATACTACTTGTCTTATCTTAAAGATTTTCCTGGTTTAGAACAAAGCATGTCCTTCACAGTTCAGTTCACTGTCGTCTAATTCATCAAACGACATGCCGATCAGCGCAATAACTAATCCGTTTGCTACCTAATCCTATAATAAGTTGCAATAGTTCCTACTTCCTGCGGTTTGAAGAATGAATGTTGCCAGCACGTATTCTGCTTTTGTTTGTCGAATGTAGATTCAAAATCTTCTGTCGTTTGAACGCAAAACAACCCGTTCTGAGACTACCGAGTACAAACCACAAGTGAGTAAGTGGGCAAAATTTGTAGCAAAATTTAAACTAGAGATGAGAACATTAAAAATAACGTAAACAGAATTAACGCCAAGAATCAACAAACGGGCGACACTGATATTGATACCAAAACTTAAACCATGTACAATTGGTCTAATTAATAGTATTTGTCAATACGCAAATAAATTTTCATGATAAGCTTATAAGAGATGCAACTTTCCGAATTCTAGTCTTACTAATATAGTATATAATCCTCATCTTAGTGCAATTCTCTTCCCTGCACCAAGTAGCAACGCTTTTCCTATTACCCCCGAGTGAAGTCCACAAACCAGAGCCACTGTTCCACCTAGAACTAGCCATTTCCAATCAATTCCATTATCCTTTTGTCTCCCATCGTGTACTGGTTCAACTTTTTCTTCACCAGATGTTGGCGCCAAGCAGTCCATGCTTCCATCTAAGGGTATCTTCGTGGTGATTCTGGCCATCAAGGCGCTTCGAGAGAAAGAAGCCTCTGATTTCCTCGCGTTCTGGTAGGCTCTCATGCCAGAGTGCAATTTCTTTACCGCACCCCACATCCCGTGGCGTACACCCAACTTGGCCACATCTTTTGGGATCCCCATGTCTTCATAATGTAAAAGGGTAACCTCACAAGCAGATAACTGCCCATCTCCTTTACGAGACTCCACTGCATTCATTTTTTATATTCAGAAAACCTCAATACACGATAAATGGTCATCAAAGTTGAACATGAATTCACAGCAAAAATCAGACGATTAATTGATAATTCTTACCAGCTCTGATAAACCAGCTTGAAAAATAAAGCTCAACACGTCTAGGCTTGTCACGCTTTGGTAATCCTGGATACGGAACAGCCTGCAATATTGCAGCTCTGGCAGTAAGGCTCAATACATATTTTGCAAACATACTGGGTCGTGTGAACGAAAGAATAAACAAATGTACTTGTGAAAGCCATAGAGGATCCAAGGAGAATAATTAGACAATTGAATCTTTGGAGTTTAACCTTTTCATACCTTTGTTACACAATAATAAGATTTTCCAGCCTCCCATATTCTTCGACCAATTATATATTCTCGATCACTGCAGAAAAAGGGGAACTGCATACAGGAGAACAAACAGAGGAATTAGTCCCACAACCTCTGAATTAGAAGGCAGAATTATGAACACAAGGAATCTATAATCAACAAATAAAAGTATGCATCCTCTGTTTCACCAACCTTTTTAATCCAGTGAACAATCATTATCCCAGTATGAGGACATTCTTCCAATATTATAAAAAATGCAAGCATAGGGTCCCATTTAGGACGAAATTCATCATCCCAAAAGAAATCTCTCACCAACTCTGGAGTTGCATCCTCAAACACAGTCCTACTACGGTAAACTGTTGGGCCGGTCTGGTAAATAATATAATCAGCATCAGGTACTAAATCAAAATAACATTAAACCGACAAGATCAACGGATAGGAAATAACTTATTGGGAGAAAATCGTACAAGAATTCCAAGAAATAAAGACATCGCTTAACAGTCGAAGAGGGTTGAACAGCAGTTAGTGAACATTTTCCAAGATAACCAAAAACTTAAAGAATAATTAAAAAAAAATGAAAAATGAACAGATAAAAACCAATTAAAGTGCCTTCAATATTGAACAGCTATTTTTAACTCGAAAATAAAAAATGCTTGTAACACAAATGAAAGTGTCAGTATCGACCTCAGGTTCATGGCGCCATGCTTGGTATGACATATTTTGGGTAGACCTCTCCATCATACTCTGCCATTCCATTTCTCCATCTCTCCCACTGAGAAATTGCAGCAGGTGCTCTAAATCATTATCTGTGATTACATCCTGCTCTCTTTCAACAGATTTAGTGCAGAGGCTGCAAAAAAGGAGGAATTAGGAAGCAATTACTGCTGAAAGATCATACTCTGCAGTTATAAAGCATAATGAAGAATCCATCAAGACAAAAATAATATCAAGATCATGTGTCACAAAGGTCTTCCTGTCACAGTATTCCCAAAAGGCACTCGATTGAAAGCTAGAGCTACATTCCCAGCAAAATTTCTTCCTTATCGCCAGAAGAAATTGCTCTCAAAAGGTTCAGTCTTCACTCTTCAGCATCTCAAAATTTTCCAAGAATCCATCGATTTCATCAAGTGAATTAAAAGATAAAAGACTGAATCAGCCATAGTAGGTTGGAATATTCTTAAAACCACCATTAATTTCCTTAGAACTTGCATAGCATGCAAAAGTTTCATTGAACCAGAAATCTAAGAAATAACCTATGATTTTTGTAGGATAACGGCCACTTCAAACCCCCTTTAATGTCCTTCACCTCCCTTGGAACCAAGCATTAGCTAAATCTTAATTCAGGTCCACAAAAAAACCTAGTTGTACATTCCCAGAACATCACCATCTTAATTCGAACAAACATTCTTAATATGAAGCCCAGTTCACTTCGATAATAACAGCAGAAACACAAAAGTATGACTTCTATGATTCTATCTAGATACCAGTATAAATAGAAGTCTTACGCCGAATCGCGACAAACTGAGATATCTATCCTAGCCACATTCAGCAAAATTCAATCCTTACACACAACATTGCACATGACACAGAGTTAACTATTAGAGCTGCAAACCATCTCTTGTACATTATACTATACTACTAAAGTAGGTAGTGGAGTTACTGTTCTTTGAACAGTGTACGGTCTTTTTTTGCCCTTCCTCTGCGAAATGTCTGTCTTGCCCTTTTTTTCTTTTCCTCTCCTTTTGCTGGGTGCGGGCTTTTGTAATAAACTAAAAGGCAATGCAAAAAGGATACCAGGACTCAAAATTCAACAAACAAAAATGTAGACCAAAATATAGCCTCAACATCAAACCCTAACACAATTAAGTACAACTCAAAACCTAATATATATATATATATATATATGTTTGTATATTCTCACAATTACAGCTTTAAAGGGTGTTCAATCAACAGCACACCCAATCCTAACTACATTTAGCAAATTTCAAACGATTACCTAGCCATCTTAATCACAATAAACTAAAACACATTGCAAAAGAACATCAAAGTTCAAAATTTATAAACCAAATTCCGCACAAAAAAAAAGTATACCTCCACGTCAAACCCTAGCACAATTCGACACAACTTTAAACTACCAAATACGAAAAATCGAAATGCGAGGATCAAATTACTCACTCAATAGCATCGCCACCGTTCTCGGCGGATAACGCGACCGCCGATTCCGGAGGGCTGGGCGGCGATACCTTGCCCTTGCTGCGAAAATTTGACCAGATCTTGCGACAGAGAGAAAAAGCGGAGAGAGCCGTGAAGGCAAGCCAGAGGCGGCGAGCACCGAACCCCGGCGGAGCCGTCCAGAGGAAGCGGAACTTGCTCCGGAGGCCGAGGAAGACGAGCCCCGTCCACCGCGGCCTCCACGACCACCCGATCGCCATGCCGATCATCACAGCCAGCCAAATCGGAACTGCGCAGAGCAAAATGTCGACGAATGTTTCGGTTATCGAAGGCCTCCTCAGAAACTCAACGAGATCGAAGAGCTCCTCCATCTTCGCCTCCAAACCTGAAGGTGAAACGAGAGGAGAAAACAAGGAAGAGATTTTCTTTACTTTTCGTTTCTTTTTTCTCTTTTGCTTTTCCGAGAAAATGTCAACTACATGGATTCTCCGCGGAGGAGATCCAAACCGGTCAAAGAGGGAAGAAAAGAGAGATTAGAGAGAGAAATGGTTTCTCTCCCAGAGGGAAAGTCGGAGGAGGAGAATTGACGGCGTTACTTTGACGGAAAGATGACGTGGCAGAAATTGCCAAGTTGGGGCCGGTTGTTACGGGCGTGAAAATAATGGTTGGGTTAGTTGGAAGGCGTTAAGTAACGGTGGCAGATGTCAAAAAGTGGGAAGACAATAATAGGATTTTCCTCTTTTTTTTTTTTAATCGAAAATAGTATTTAGCATCGCGCCCCGCCCATGTCCTAATAATCTGTAATCTGCTGATTAAAAAAAGACAAATTACACTTTGTGCTTGTAAAGTATCAGCGTTTTGTAAAAATTATCTCTAAAGTTTAAAAATAGTAAATTTTTTCTCTGAATAAGTTACTGTTAGCACGCTTCTCTTTTATCTGCCTCTTTTGTTAAATTTTAAATTTTAAACGGTAAGTGACACGTGTAAATTATTAAGGCATGTATATATCATAAATTATTAGTTTATATCCAATTAAACCTCAACCATAAATTGAATTAACCTTACATCTTAGCCCTTTAACTGCTAACACTAACATTAGAAACCCTATAAAGTTAAAAAAAAATTAAAAAAAAAATCGATAATCTATATATAAGCTATAACTATATTATAAATGTGAATGAGTTTCTATTATACTCCCACAAAACACTATTTAAAGTTTTAGTTTACTATTCCTGCTCTCGTAAAGTACTATTTAAAGTTTTGATAAAATTATTTTATCTTTTTCTCATATTTATTCTATAGTGCTTTAACTTTTTTTTTTTTGTGTTTTTTCTCATCTTTTTCTTAAAAAATGCTATCATCACTCCTATTACTCTTGTTGTCACTTTTTATAGTCATTGATTATTTCATATGTAAATTTCACTAACATGATATATTATTATTTAAACATAAAATAATATAATATAGTCCACATATCAAGCAGTGAACATAGAGAGTGACAAAAAAAGTAATGCTAGCATTTATCATTGTTCTTTGTCTTTCCTCCTTAAAAACTTTAAGAGTTTCTCTAGTAGAGCCTCCCTATTGGTATAGGCCAATTTCTGATCTTTTAATCTGGTCAAAATCAAAACAGATTGAAAAGTTTAAAGAATAAATAGTTTTTGATACAGATCTAACTGTTGAAAGTAGAAAACTACAGATAATTTTTTATTCCTCTTGTCCTACGAGAGAAGCTACTAAAAACTTTATACTTTCAACTGCAATATATTAAAAAGAATTGTCTTAAGTCCAGGCCCCATACTAATAAGGTGCATGTAATTTTTTATATGGCCGTGTGATATCGTCCGTACGTGTATATAACTCAATTTTGCTTTAGTATAATTTTCAATAAATATAGTCCAACATATATAACACTGAGTTAGGGCTGGCAATCCGGGTAGCACACGACTCGAAACCCGTACGAAGTTAGTGGGTTTTAATTTATCATAAATAGGTTTAGGTCAAAATCAGGTCGAACCCGTGAAACACGATTAAATAGCGTGTCATTTTTCAAGTTGACACGCCAATCCACAATTGACACACTATAACTCGTTAATTAAACATGTCATATTTGGGTAACACGAATACACAACACAATTACAACTCATTTGTTACCTATGTTTACAAATATATATATATATATATATAACAGGTTGAGAAATAGGTTGACACGACTTTATTATCACTTATTTTATAAACGGGTTATTAAAAATCGGTTGACACGACACTATTATGACATGTTTAATAAACAGGTTAGTCGTGTCGTGTGGTGTCAACCTGTCAATATACATGTCGTGTTTGAGTTTTGTATTTCGACACGAATAAAAAAATTAGACGATGTTACATGCACATATTGTCAAATTATACGACTACCGGACTTAAACTTTGTGTATATTAAAATATTTTTCCTTTTTAATTTACATCTATTCGTAATAATTTTTGTCACATATATGATCTACAATTAAATATGTTTCCTAATCTTCTTAAATATTATTTTGTCAAATGTTATAAATATTTTTCTTTTATTTTGTTTATATTATGATAATTTTTTTTTAAAAATCAATTATTATGATAATTTTAATCAAATATATTCATACGTAAATATTTTTTTTTACAATCCCATAAAATACTTTTGTTAGATATCACCTTCATAAATTATTTTCTTAATTACTCTATTAATTTTTTTACCATAAATGTGCCCCTATTAAATGTCTTTATCTTGCTCATAAGTTCCCGTAATTAGTTTTGTATTTGTCTGGTTCTCACCAAAATCATTTTTTGGATATATTACTTTATCTCACATCTTATTTTATTTTAATCTTAAATTTTAAATAGACAAAAGTGCCAATGTGCACTTCTATTGCTTCGTCATCCGCCGTTTTGTTCGTTTCCATCATTTTTTTTTGGCTCCTTTACTGTTTTTTTTGTCGTTTGATTTTTGTATTTTGCCCTTTTCCCTATTTTCTATTCTACTTTTTTCTTATTTTTATTTTCTATTTTAAAATGCCTAATTTCATTTTTCCTTTTCATCAATTTTTTTCTCCTTTTACTAAAGATTTGTCTACACTTTAAATTTTTTGTTACAGTGTAATTTTTTAAAATACTATTTTTTATGTACTTTTCTTTTTAATAACTTATATATCCGTATTGTTTTTCCTTTTTGCCGAAGGTCATTCTATAATTTGATTTTTTTAATAATTTTTTAAATGCTCTTCCTCATTTGTTCCTATTAAAATATGTTTTTTTTTTTCTGAATTGTTTTCTAATTTGTCTCAATTAGCAAATTTTTTCTCAAAGTATCTTCTTTGAAAAAGGCTTTTTCATGTCATCCTTTCAGCTTCATTAATTTGTACATGTTGAGGTAATTTTAAATTTTTTTCCCTTTCTTTTCTCCTATTAAAGTAATTTGTTTGATATGTATTTCTACTTTTTTCTGGTTTCTTTTTCTTTTTATCAAAAGTTCTTTTATAGCTTAAGTTTTTTTGATATATTTCTTGTAAGTATTTTTTTCTTTCATTGTTTCTATTAGAATAATTTATTTATTAAGTGTGTCCCTATTTAATCTTTTAGCAATGTAATTCTTCTTATTTTAAAAGTGATCCTTATAAATATATGAGTGTTAGCAGCGTATTAACAACTAAATAGAATGTCTATTAAAAAAATGAAAAAATTAATAAAATAGTAATTAAAATTTAATACGCATAAAGAACTTACAAAATTACTCACCACGTACGTAACACGTGACACTCAATCAATATATATATACATGTTTATTTTTAATAATATTTTTAATGTAAATTTTTATTATAATAGTACTTAAAATATATGAGATTAAAAAAAATTTAATGTGTGTTACTATTTTACCATTTAAAAAAAAATTATAACGATTCCTAAATTCTTATTATAAATAGTAACTTTGTTTAATTTAAGTCCTAACCTATACGAAATAATAATGTTTTATGGTTTTTAATGTTTTACTTTGAAGGCTTTAATTTATTACTTAAAATTTGGTTTCGTATGATTTTGATATTTGATTAGTTATTTTTAAAGTTTAGATTTTCCTTTGAAACCCTTGTTTTCCTAAGATATTAATGTTATGTTGATTTTTACATTTGATTTGATGTACTTTATTTAAGTGTTAATAATATCATAATTTTTTTAATGAATAAATGAATGAGGTATAGAGAAAGTCTTTCTGACAGGAATTTTCCGACTTGGATCCCTACTTCGAGTAAGGCGGGTATGGGGGCGGGTATGAAGGCAAAAACGAAAGCGGGGGCGGGTGTGGAGGAAGCATACCTAACTCAATTGCGCTTGATAAGGTACGAAGAAGAAGATGAAAGAGAGAGAGATGAATAAGTGTAGTAAGATGTACGTATGTTTCATAGATTTATCTTATTTTGAACCACCAAATTAAATCTAATAGTCTAAATTACATGTATAGATATGACAAGCAACATGCGATATTGGAGTATTGCTCTATATACATATATATTAGTTGAAATTACGCGCGTGTTTTTGTAAGTAGAAAATTAAAAAACATATTTATTAGGTTTTATTTGGAAAAATAAAAAATGTATAATAGGATAAAAAAGATAGGAATGAAAAAAGGGAGGAAAAAAGAAAAAAAAAGAGGAAAAAAAGAAGGAAAGTAGGGGAAGAATATATATTTTTTTTAAAAATGGTCACACATATATGAGAAGAAATTGTTTGGCATATGACTTTGGTTTTCAATTTCACATTTTTATGTCCCTCCTCTGTTTGTTTCCCGAAGACAATTGTTTGGCATATGCTAGTCAATAATCTTCCAACTTTTTGATTAATTTATGGAAAGTACGCCTAATGGGAACATTTTTTTATCTTTTGCATCATCTCCAATGGGAACATCTTTTACTGGATACCATTTTGGATTCTCTACCTCCCTCTGCCACTTCTTAGGCAAGCCATTAGCCCTCGGTTTCAAACGTGTTGCTTTCAGAAAGGTTTGTAGTTTCAAACGCCCCATTTCCTTAATTCCAATTCCATTTCTTACCTGCATCCCCTTCTTGTCCCATTCCTAATAAAACAAAACCAAATAAGTTTCAAGTCCCATCTTCTTGGCAAATTTAAAAAGGAAAAATTAGCCCCGTTCATTTCACCAATTTAAGTTTAGAATTCGAGTTTTACTACAGTAAAAAGCTCTCAGAAACAGTCACATTTAACTTTTTTACTACAGTCTAAAACTCTAAGATAATATCACATCTTAACTCGAATTAAAAACTCAAATCAACAAACTAAACAGGTAGTCAACAATCTGTGAAGCCATGATACACCTCTAAAACAAGACGAAAAATCCATCATCTCACCCAACTCCCTCTCACTAGGATTCCTTATGAAATGGAAGTTCCAAGAGACAGTAACTAGAATGAGAGCTTTTCTATCCCTCTTGGATTGAATGCGCACTGCTCTGAGATCATTTTGACTTTTGTCCAAGAG